AAACTTGTATTCCTATGAGTGGCTGTAGGGAAAATGAAACAAAAGTAGTTATGTCTTTTTGCATGGGGTCCCCCGTTAATCAAGAATAAGGGTTAGTTATTGAATATTGGAGGGGATGTATGCTGTTTTTTTTTCTTTTTGCCTGGGGTTCCCCTCCAAATCCATACTACGCCATTATCAAGTATAAGGGTCTACTATGGATTTTGGAGGTGACCCATGCCATGCTGTTAAAAAAACAAACCATAGATGAATGCCAATCAGCGACAAATGTATTTCTAAAATGTCAATTTTGCTTGTTTATACACTACAGGTCAGGGGCGGACTGACCATTTGGAAACTCGGGCACTGCCCAAGGCCCGGTGTCAATAGGGGGCCCATGAGATGCCCCTGGTACCTTTTTCATAGGCTTTTTTGAGTTTGGGCAAGGACACAGGGGCCCCAAGATCCCCTATTGCCTGGGGGCCCCATGAGTTGTCAGTCCGCCCCTGCTACAGGTATGTCACTTCAAGAGCAGGTTTAGGGCAGCACTCATGCATGTTATTTCAGTTATGTCAGTACCAGAGCATTTTTTTTTGTTCAGCAATGTCTTGTTCTACAAGTTATGTCTTTCCAGGTTTGTGGTCTACCTCATCATATTATACATTGTTTGTTTTCTTTCAGGACAGCCAGCCCACATAAAGACAGTCCAGTTGATGGCTGGGAAATGCTGAGGCAATGTTTATTTTCTTGACACACTGATGTGAGTGCTGCTTGTTCTGATTTTACATATGTGTTTGATTCTCAGTGGCCCATATAAAGTCCCATTTCCTACCTGTTAAGGGTGGTAAAGGGTGTCCAACTTGTGAAGGGAATTAATCAGGCTGCTAAGTGTAATCCTGGACTCTGAACTATCCTTTTGGCCCCACATCCAATCACTGTCCAAAGCTTGCCACCTCAACCTCTGCAACATCTACAAAATACGCCCCTTCCTAACCAATGACACCACAAAGCTTCTAACTCACTCCCTGGTCATCTCCCGTCTTGACTACTGCAACTTCCTCCTCATTGGCTTACCTTTGCATAGGCTATCCCCCTTCCAGTCCATCATGAATGCTGTTTCCAGACTCATCCACTTTACCAACCATACAGTGTCTGCCATTCCTCTTTGCCAGTCCCTCCATTGGCTCCCACTCACCCAACGAATAAAATTCAAGATACTTACAACTTAAAAGCCATCCACTACTTAGACCCTAGTTACATCAGTAACCTGGTCTCAAAATACCAACCAAATTGTTCTCTTCATTCCTCCCAAGACCTCCTGTTGCTGAACAAGAAGCTTCAATATTTGGAGACCCCAAATATCATTGTTATCATTGTGTTTTATTTTAAAATAGGAATTTGAAACCTACAGCCTGAGCTCCTTCATTGAGATATGGAGCCCACAGGGAACAAGGAAGTGAGACTTGTGTAAGCTTTAAAGTGTTACTAAACGCACAGTAGACAGTAAAATCAGTCTGTAACTGCAGAAAAGAATGCTTGTTATACTCACGGTGGAACCTAAAGGGTTAATCCTCTGCATTGTGTTTGATCCTGTCTTCTCTGATCCTCTCCTTCTTCCAGTGTCCCCCTCTTATTTCCTAATAAGACGTATTGTGTGGAGTCACTCTGTACATGTTTCAGTTTGGTGTGTATTGCTAATGAGATTTTTTTTTTCCTTGGAAGGGTGCATGTGATCAGCACAGGGTCAATCAGCACTGTCCAGACAGAGGTCAGAGGTTTTGCATCTTCCCAAAGCAAAATGAAAACTCCTCCTACAAGCTTTAACCAGTGCTCTGCTGGACACTAATATACGTCAAAAGACTGCTTTAACTGGTGATGAGAAAAGGTATTTTGTAGTTTATATTTACTAAAAATAATTGCACTTCCATGTTCTGTGTACTGTGGGAGACCGGATATAGTGAATGCAGAGTCCTTGCTTTAGTAACATTTTAAGTTGCAACTTTAGCTTACACAGGGCTCTCTCCTTGCCTCTTGTGACAGCACTGGGTTCCTTAGAAAGCAATCACTAAGCACCAGAGCTGTAGGAGCGAGGGAGAGTAAATCACATGTAAATCACATATCCCATATGAAGAAGTACTGGTATTTGTCTTCTCATTAAATATTTCCATTGTGACTAATAAGTGATCAATATGCAAAAAGGTCTATGCTTACGTTACCTAGAGATCTCAAATGTAACTTTTTAAAATTTTCATAACAAATTTTATTTGTTGTTCATTTGCCATGGACTGTGGGATATTTGTGGACACTGCAGACAGCTTGATGAATGGTTCCAAAAAAAAAAAAGAAAAAAACACAATGAACAGAAGCTGTGAGACAGATGATTACCAATCTCTTCTCTTCCCTTAGCTTAATGGCCTCTGTCTTTAAATGAAGTATCACAGTATTGTTATTTATCTCAAAGTGTCAAACAAATTGCATATCCTGAAACTTCCTTATTGGTAGTCCATCTTATCTGGGTTTTCTTGTTGATGGGTGCTTAAATTCTTTACAAATTGATGTTTGTTTCAATATTGCCCTTCCCCATTTCGTCGTTAGTGTTATCATACCATGCTTTTGAGAAAGGCTAGAATAACTGTTTATTTCACTTTTGCTGTGGGCAGTACAGTAGGTAAATTGTCAGCATTCCTGACTGCAAATCCCATCAGGGACATCTACATGTTCTCTCCAAATCTTTGTGAGTTCCTCTGGGCAAACCAGTTTTCTTCCTACTGGCCAAAATATGTGTGGAGTAGTAGCTTTAGATTGTGAGTTCCTTGAGAGGATGCGGATCTGATTCAATACACTATGTAAATGTGCTTTGTAATATATTGGTGATATATAAATACTGAAAGAAAACATAAGAAAATACATATAAATACAAATACATACCGTATCAGTGAAAGAAGAAAAACTAGGAATCACCTTTTAAGTTTAAAGAATAACTATACTTTCTTATAATCAATATTTATAGAGAAATTCCACTTTTGTTGAGGGAAAAAACATTCCCCTCCAGGTGATCTATGTACACTTCAAGAATTTTAATAAACTTTGTTGCAGTTTCTACCTTTTGTTGTTCTGAAAAAAAAAAGCTGTTTGTCTGTGTCCATGGGCAGAGTGAATTTGTATGGGAGAGGTTTTATAATTATCAATCAGCTGCTGCATCTGCAGGAAATTGACAAGGTCTGCATCCCTTTAGACGTGATTTCCCTTTGGCAGTATCTCACCAAATATGACATTTTTGTTGCAGGGGATGCCAAAAATGTAACTTGTATCTTAGTGCAGACTTCTGGGAAATTCAGTAAGCCAATTACTCAAGCAGGAAATGACATTTTCAGGGGATGTTCTGTACACCATCTGTGTGCAGAATGCCTCCAGTTAGCTATATTGCTTAGAATGTTACAGAAAATTACAGTGCTGCAAATTGAAAAGGAAAGGTAATGTTTAACTGCTTTCCCTCAGGAAGATTACTCCCTTCATGACTAGGCCATTTTTTGCTATACAGCGTTATGCTACTTAAACTGACAATTGCGCAATCATGCAACACTGTAAACAAATTACATTTATATAATTTTTTTCACACAAATAGAGTTTCCATTTGGTGGTATTTGATCATCACTGTTTTTTTTTATTATGTGAACTATAAACTCCTAGATTGTAAGCTCCAAGGAGCAGGGCCCTCCTATTCCTCTTTTATTCAACTGTATTGTTGCTGTATTGTCTCCCATTATATTGTAAAGCGCTGAGGAAACTGTTGCCCACTATATAAATCCTGTATAATAATAATAATAAACAAACAAGCAATATTTTTTACTTTTTGCTATAAAACATAACCAATAAAATCAAATTTGTCATAAATTTAGGCCAAAAAGGTATTCTGCTACGTCTTTGGTAAAAAAAAAAAATCCCGATAAGTGTATATTAATGTTTTTTGTGAAAATTATAGCATCTACAAGCAATGGTATATATACTGGAATTTTCTATTATTTTTTCTTTATACTAGTAATGGTGGCGATCAATGACTTATAGTGAGACTGTGATAGTATGGCGGGCATTCTGACACTAACTGACACTGGGTGTGAACACCTAATTTGAGCTAACCTGATGTCTTTCTTTAAATATTCACAATAATTTATCCAGGATTCATTAACAGCTTATTAACTTGAGTTGAAAAAAAATCAGGTTTGGCAAACACCAGTACTTAGTAATAGATCACTAAGTAATTATGTAAAGAACAACTCTACTTTTGTTTTCCCATAGCAATCCATGTCCTCCCTGCAAGTCTTGAGCTTAGCTGTCTTCAGGAGATCCACCAGCCACTGTTCCAGAAGTCTTCTGGCGAGGTCATTCTTTCACACAATTGCTACTATTAATTCCTACAACAAAAATGATGCATCCCAGTGGTGGATGGCCACTTTATAGGTATGCATGGAGGTGCATGAAAGAAGAGAAGCTGGCCAACAGACTTCTGGAGTGCTGGCTGTGTGACTCCCAGCTAACTTCACAGTGAAGACCTCAGAGATTCAAGGATAGGAAAACTGAAAAACTTGGTTAGATGCTGGGGAATGAGAGGATCATTTAAAACAAAACTGTATGAAGATAACAGTTATCCTTTCAAGTTAATGAACACCAACATTTTCCAGCACACCAGTGGTCAGCAAACCCCCCCCCCCCCAAAAAAAAAAAAAGATTACACAGTCTAACAATTTGTGTTAAAAATATAGATTTTAGTATAAAAATTGTTAGATGGTGTAATTATTATTTATTTATATACATTTCTTGCTGGCTAGCTGATAAGTGTGCTCAGAGCTTTTTTTTTTCAGCTGGAACTTGGTGGAACTCAGTTCCACCACCTCTGGCTCAGGCCCTCTGCTCCCTACTCATCATTTTCACTTGTGAACACAGAGGTCCAGCTTTTGGGTTTACTTGTGACAGCGGCTCCCAACGGCTGCAACAGATCTGATCTCCTGAGTGGCTTCCAATGATGCAGGAAGGGAAAAGGGGAGATGCAGATGCCTAGGGTGCAGTCCGTATGGCGACATCCCTATTGGATGATCTCCCTGCAAATGAGAGAGGTAGAGCCACCTACAGTGTGCAGGGAGATACTAGAGCTGGCTGGGTGCTTCAGCTTAATACAGCAACAAAAGTAAGACATGTGGAAGAAGGTGGAACTTTTAAGTAAGGGGGGAGAAGATGGGGGCAGCGAAGGGGGGTTTGCTTGCAGAGGTCAGAGCTGAAGAAGGGTGAAAGTGAGATGTGGATGGGGGATACAGAGATGAGCAACTGTAGAAAAAGGCTAAACTCTGCACTCTGTATTCAGCGCACCCCTGAACTCTGCAGTCTGTATGCACGCACCCCTGAACTCTGTACTCTATATGCAGCACACCCCTGATCTCTGCATGCTGTATGCAGCACCTCCCTGAACTCTGCACCATGCATAAGGTGCACACCTAAACTCTTCACTCTGAGTGTAAACCTCCCCCAGCCCCCTTTTAAGACCCTCCCACTATTAGTGACATTTGACTACATCCAATATTTGATGCTGTTCGGAGTGTGTTTGTATGGGCAAGGAAGGGGGGGGGGGTTGAGGGTTGTGGTTGAGTTTCTGCACCTATTTAATGAGAAAAAAAGTCCTGAGTGTGCTGTGTAAAATGTTTGTGTTGTTGACTTAAATCCTTCCATGTGCACTTTACTCTAAGGGATCATTTATACTTGTGGCTGGAAGTTGACAAGAAACAAAAACAGGTGGTTGAACTGTGTTCTTACCCCCCCCCCCCCCCCCAAAGCTGCAAAAGCAGTTGAATGAAGGAGTACACATGAGGGTGGCAGCTTTGATGCTTTGCTTCATGGCTGTAGCAAAAGTTATCCCATTGTCAAATTAATCAGGCAGTACTGCCACCAAATGCAACCCTTTCAAGTGACTGGGGCAGGTCCACCACTGCCCTGCAATTGTAGTAATGTACATAGCTGCAGCATGGTGTTGTGGCATGTACAGGTTTAAATCAGGTGGTGAGGAGACAGCATATTGAGGGGTGGCAAGCTGCCGCATGTGTAAACCTAGCCTTAAAGTGTTACTAAACCCTGGACATTCACTATATCTGGTCTCCAACAGTACACAGAACATGGAAATGAAATTATTTTAGTAAATATAAACTGCTAAATACCTTTTCTCATCAGCAGTTTGAGCAGTCTTGTGACTTCTATCAGTGACCAGCCGAGCACATGTTAAAGCTTGCAGGAGGAGTTTTAATTCTGCTCTAGGAGGATGCAGGACCCCTGACCTCTGTCTGGACAGTGCACGTTGACCCTGTGCTGATCACATGCACTCTCCCAAGGAAAAAAAAAACCTCTCTAGCAATACACCCCAAACTGAGCATGTGCAGAGTGTCTCCACACGACTTCTCTGATCCTCTCTTTCTTCCAGTGCCCCCTCTTATCTCCTGATAAGACATAAGAAGGGGCACTGGAAGAAAGAGAGGATCAGAGAAGTCAGGATCAAACAGCATTTTTACACAATGCAGATGAATAACCCCTTAGGTTCCACAGTGAGTATATCAAGCAAACTGTTGGTGCTTATATAAATCCTTATAATAATAATAATTTACTGCATATATAGACTGATTTTACTGTTGTGGGTTTAGTAACACTTTTACCAATGCCACATAACCAATAATGTGGTATACTAGTCCTAAGGGTATGTTCAGAAGTACTGCAGCCCTTGACACCCCTGTTAAAAGCGGGGTTGGATTGCTTTTCCAAGGGTGATTGACAGGCAACTGGGCTGAACCACATGGTTGTGACACAGCCCCATACACTTAAAAGTGTCACACTTGGTGGAATACTAGCTGCAGAATACAGCATGCTGTTTATTTTTTGCTGCAGTCACAAAGCAAAGTAGTGCAGCTGCAATTAAAATAAACAGTGTAGCGCTAACAATACTAAAAATAAGTGAATAGGTGATTAAAATACACAAACTAAATATATATAAAACCATCCCCTTAATGTACACATCGGGGAAGATTTACAAAAATAAATCAATAAATAGTGTCATGCATGAATTCCCTCTCATAGGGAATATCCAGTGCACAGGGTGAAATGTACAACCCTAACTGAATAATGTAAAAAAAACAATAGTGCACATCAACTGTGAACAAATAATTTGTTCCAAAATTTCCAAAAAACACGATACTTATAGTGGTCCTCCCACGTCACTCGTCATGCAAATATCATGCTGTGTGCGTTATTCACACGTGCCAATCCTTCAATATCCGAAATGCCCCCTCACCTCCTTACTTAGACCCCACAGGGCCAGCTCGCTTTAGGGATCAACCGATCCTGTAAGAACAGATTCCTCTCAGTGCAGCTGCAATGTATGCAGACCTGAGCGTCTGTATGCCCTTGCTTACATGGGCAGTTGGGGGGGGTCAATTAAACTGCAGCTCAATCACCTGATTTTTCCACCCCCTGGGCTACTATGTAAACAAGGCATAACAGACAGAATTATCTGTTGTAATACACTTCAAAACAGAGAACATATTGTTAAAGAAGTTCAGTAAGCTCAGTAGGCAGAAGCAGCTTGTGATCTTACCTTGCTCTGAATCACCCAGCACTAGAAAACTGTTTATAGTCCGTTATTGAATCCCTATGTAGGAGCATCTTTATAGGAAAGTACAGAAAATAAAAAAAAAACATGGGATTTGTATCTAACATTTCTAGCGTATAATTAAGTAAGGAGTTGAATGTGATTGGCATGTTTTCATTTCTTGGTATGAGTACTGAATGTTCAGAAATGAACATAACTTGGTAGAGCGGTAAAAAGTTTACAGCAGACATTTCTCTGTGATCATGTTTAAGCAGCTTTCCATTGAAGTAATTGAAAGTCTGTAAACCAGTTGCCTCAAGCTGATTCTTTCACCAACAACCCCCGAGGCTCTGTTGTCAACATTCTGATCACGGCCTCATAGCTGTGCTTTTTTTTTTTTTTTTTTAGGTCAGAGAATTTTCTTGTTTTGAAGGATTTTAATACTTCTTATGTTCTTGCTAAAAGTAATATGATGACATGTTAAGAATACTCTTAATATCATTAAGAGTCAAGGAAATTTTACTGACCAGCCTTGCATGATAATCAAAGCCTTCTTCACATTTTGCTCTTCTGAATCATAGAGTGCACACCAAACAGTCACAATAAAGTGCCCTGTGCTGTAAACACCAACCCACCAGTATATGCAGGGCTAACTAGAACATATTGCAGCAAAAGGAGTCCCACATCAAGCACTTCAAAAAGTACTTTTTGTAAAAATAGCTCTTATATTTTCTCATCAAAGAATCTGCAATACAGTATTAAACATGAAAAAAATGTTGACAGCGTGAAGCCCACACTAGCTCTTTTTTAAGCCAAACAAGTAAATGTACATTTTTTTAACTCCTTGTTACAGGGCAACTTTTGCTGCAATAGCCACTTTTTGGTCTTACACTGATGTGTGTGATCATTCAATTATGAACATGCCTTCCTTTAGACAATTTGCTTTATTTTCCATAACATGTTTGGCAAACCATTTCTGTCCAGCTCAGAGGATGGCTTTCCAATCAGTGATCCACTATGTACATTGTAGCAGCATTGACCATGTGAACGATAGCTCCTGAATGCTTGTTTATTATGGTGTAATAAATAATGGATAGGAGCAAAGTCCAATGGATCCCCCCATCATCTCAATGATAGTCTCTTGCACAGTCTGCAAATAGTCCAAAAGACGTGGACATGACCATCATATGTGCAAAAAGTATCTTCTTACCTCTGTGAGACAAAAGCTGTCTGACGCTGATGACTTGATTTTATGGAGGACTCTCAGTACTATACAGTTGTGACCAAAATTATTCAACCCCCACTGAAATTGAGTGTTTTGGCCAGTTTGACATTGCTTTTGATCATTCAGTCATTTCATGCTTACATTTATTTACATTAAAGAGGCACTTGTAGGTCAGACAAATATATACATAACAGTTTTTAATGAAATAACCACAAATGTCTTTTCTGTGCTCACAGCATTATCAGTTTTATTTCAACCCCCAAGTGACATTCAATCTTAGTACTTAGTACAGCATCCTTTTACAGTTATAACAGCTTTTAAACGTGAAGCATAGCTTGACACAAGTGTCTGTTGCAGCGATCTACGGGTGATCTTCGCCCATTCTTTCATGGGCCAAAGGCCTCCAGTTCAGTCACATTCTTTAGGCTTGCGCACTGCAACTGCTGTTCTTTAAGTCCCATTTTTCTCAATCGGATTTAAGTCTGGTGACTGCGATGCCACTTCCAAAATGTTCCAGCCTTTCCTCTTCTGCAACCATGCTCTAGTGGACTTGGAGGTATGCTTGGGATCATTGTCCTGTTGAAAGGTCCAACGTCTCCCAAGCCTCAGGTGTGTGACGGACTGCATCACGTTTCCATCCAATATCTCCTGGTACTGAAGAGAATTCATGGTACCTTGCACACGCTGAAGCTTCCCTGTACCTGCAGAAGCAAAACAGCCCCAAAGCATGATTGACCCTCCACCATGCTTCACAGTAGGCAAGGTGTCTTTTTCATCATAGGCCTTGTTCTTCCTCCTCCAAACATAGCGTTGATCCATGGGCCCAAACAGTTCTAAATTTTTGTTTCATCAGTCCACAGAACACTATCCCACAACTTTTGTGGTTTGTCCACATGGCTTTTGGCATACTGCAGTCGACTCTTCTTATTCTTGGAGACAGGGGACGCCTGGGAGTTCTGGCACGGAGGCCTTCATTACGCAGTGTGCGTCTTATTGTCTGGGCTGAAACTTCTGTACCCACATCTGACAAATCTTTTCTCAGTTCCTCAGCAGTCACACGGGGACTTCTCTCCACTCTACGCTTCAGGTAGCGTAGCGCACAGCAGTCGAAGTCAGCATCTTCTTTCTGCCACGACCAGGTAGCGTTTCAACAGTGCCCTTTGCCTTGAATTTGCGAATGATGCTTCCTAAGGTGTCTCTTGGTATGTTTAACATCTTTGCAATCTTCTTATAGCCATTGCCCTTCCTGTGAAGAGAAATCACCTCTTCTCTTGTCTTCCTGGACCATTCTCTTGCCTTCACCATGTTTGTAACCACACCAGTAAATGTCTAGAAGGAGCTGAGTATCACAGTCATTTTAAAGCTGCCTAATTGGTGCTTATTATGCTTGATTGCTGCTCGGTGACATCCACAGGTGTTTTCAATACCTGATGGAAAGCACCTGTATGAACCTCTGTTCTTCAGAGTGGTAGTCTTTAAGGGGTTGAATAATTGTGGCAATGAAAGAAAACCACATAAGAACCATTTACTACTGTATTACATAAACAATTGATGTCATTTTAGTTGCATTTGGGTAGTTACAACGTCCTTGTAGGATTTGATTCTGAATACAATTCCAAATGTACACTATAGTCCCCTAAACCCC